CGCGGCCCGGTCCTCGACCAGGCCTCCACCCCCAGGAAGCAGCCCGTGACAGCTGACTAACACCCAGGTACCTATTTTACTGCTAGGTAACAGGTGCATAGGGTGAAAGAAACTCTGCCCATTGTTTCTCGCCGGCGCCCGGGATCGAACCCGGGACCACAGCATCACAAGTCCAGTGTGCTGTCCGCTCGGCCGACCGGCTCCCGTGGGTGGGGTCAGCCTCTACATCAAAGACACACTCATCTGTACTGAGCTGCTAAACACCTCAAATGATATGGTGGAAGTGCTGATAGTCAAAATAGAGATTTTAAATGTAGTTATTGTTCTTGTATATAAGTCACCGGAGGCAAACCCTCAGCAGTTTAAAGACCAACTAATGAAAAGAGAACACTGCTTGGAAAACCTCACAAATCCAGCTCCGAACATCATCCTGCTTGAGGACTTCAACCTACGGCACCTGAAATGGAAGCACCTGGCTAATACAGTAATATCAGAAAGAATACCAGGAAGTAGCCTAAATGAACAGGCACATGCAAATGACCTGCTACGGATGTGCGACAGGTATGCCTTAAACCAGCAAATAGTAGAACCAACTAGGAAGGAGAACACGCTGGACCTCATTTTCACTAATAATGATGAATTGATAAGGAACATAATGATTACAAATACCTGTTACTCAGATCACAACTTAATTGAAGTTATGACAACCATGGGGAGTAGACCTTCAAAACCACTCCAGATTCACGGTGGAGGAGATTTCAGCAAATTCAACTTCAATAATAAACAGATAAACTGGGAGCAAATAAACCAGGACTTCACAAAAATAAACTGGGAAGAACAGCTAGAAAATGCAAACCTGAACCAGTGCCTGGAAAAAATAAGCTCAGTAGCACTAGAAATATGTTTAAACCGCATACCTTTAAGAAAAAAGAGGAAGAGATGCAGATTGGAACGGGAACGTCGTTCCCTATATAGGCGAAGAAAACGAATCGCGGAACAACTTGAGAGTCGCACCCTATCTCAAGAACGCCGAAGAAGGTTAGGTAGAGAAATAGAAACAATTGAACTCAAGCTACAAGAATCATACAAAACCCAGGAGAGGCAAAGAGATCAAAAGGCCATCAGTGAAATAGAGAGAAATCCGAAATATTTTTTCTCCTATGCAAAATCAAGATCAAAAACCACATCTAGTATCGGGCCCCTGCGAAAGGGAGATGGAACTTTCATCGATGACAACAAAGAAATGAGCGAGCTACTGAGGAAGCAGTACGACTCTGTTTTCAGCGAGTCATTAAACACACTAAAGATTGATAACCCAAATGAATTTTTCATTGATATGATTCCAACATCAAATCATATATCAGACGTCACCCTATCCCCACTGGATTTTGAAGAAGCCATAAACAGTATGCCTATGCACTCTGCTCCAGGCCCGGATTCTTGGAACTCCATATTCATAAAGAACTGTAAAAAAACACTATCACAGGCCCTCCACATTCTGTGGAGACAAAGCCTAGATACTGGCGTTATTCCTGATATACTAAACACAGCAGAGATAGCACCACTTCATAAAGGAGGAAATAAGGCAGAGGCAAAAAATTACAGACCGATAGCACTAACATCGCACATCATAAATTTTTTTGAGAGAGTGCTAAGAAGTAAGATCACAAAATACATGGAATCACAGCATCTCCATAACCCCGGACAACATTGCTTCAGAACAGGGCGCTCTTGCCTATCGCAGTTGCTGGACCACTATGATATGGCATTAGATGCTATGGAAGACAAACAAAGCGCTGATGTAATTTACACAGATTTCGCAAAAGCTTTTGATAAATGTGACCATGGTTTTATTGCAAATAAAATGCGTTCAAAGGGAATTACCGGAAAAATAGGCAGATGGATCTAATATTTCCTGACCAACAGAACCCAATGTGTAATAGTCAACAAAATAAAATCCAGCCCATCAACCGTGAAGAGCTCAGTCCCCCAGGGTACTGTGCTTGCTCCAGTACTTTTTCTCATCCTCATATCGGACATAGACAAGAACACAACCTATAGCACTGTATCATCCTTTGCAGATGACACTAGGATCTTCATGAGAGTAGGCAACATAGAGGACACGGCAAACCTCCAGTCAGATGTAGATCAGGTCTTTCTATGGGCTACAGAAAATAATATGGTGTTAAACGAAGATAAGTTCCAGCTCATGCGCTATGGAAAAAATGAAAATATAAAAACGGAAACCACGTACAAAACTCAGGCAAATCATAACATAGAACGAAAAGGCAATGTAAAGGATCTGGGTGTACTCATGTCGGAAGACCTTACCTTTAAAGAGCACAATAAAGTAGCCGTCACAACTGCAAGAAAAATGACAGGATGGATAACAAGATCTTTTCACACTACAGATGCTATACCGATGATGACACTTTTCAAAACGCTTGTGCTCTCTAGAGTGGAGTACTGCTGCACAATGACAGCCCCTTTCAAAGCTGGAAAAATTGCTGACCTGGAGAGCGTGCAGAGATCCTTTACTGCTAGAATCCACTCAGTAAAACATCTAAACTATTGGGACCGACTAAAGAGCCTAAAACTGTACTCCCTTAAGCGCAGGTGGGATACATAATAATTTACACCTGTAGATTATTATGTACCTCTCCCGCCTGCGCTCAAGGCGCAGGCGGGAGAGGTATATAATAATTTACACGTGGAAAATATTAGAGGGGCTGGTCCCAAACCTGAACACAGAAATAACATCACATGAGACTAGAAGACATGGCAGGATGTGCAGAATACCCCCGTTGAAAAGCAGAGGTTCAACAGGTACTCTGAGAGAGAACTCTATCAACATCAGAGGTCCGAGACTGTTCAACACGCTTCCGCTACACATAAGTGGCATAACTGGCCGACCCCTCACAGTGTTCAAGAGAGAACTGGATACGCACTTCCCAAGGATACCTGATCAACCAGGCTGTGACTCATACGTCAGGCTGCGAGCAGCCGCTTCCAACAGCCTGGTTGATCAGTCCGGCAACCAGGAGGCCTGATCGACGACCGGGCCGCGGGGACGCTAAACTCCGGAAGCACCTCAAGGTATCATACCTCTATAATACAAATTGTTGTGTTTATTTATATGTGAATATTTGCTGGTGTAGTTATGGTCCTTGACTGGACTGTCTACATGTTTAGAACCTTGATTCAAACAGAACCAGTGCTCATTAATAGAATTAAGTTATTTAATCTTATCCTAGTATTAATAATACAAGCTGATGTGTTGAATTGCCTGCAGGTGGATTGTAGATCTTCAATCAACTTCTTCATTCACTCTTAGGGACCCCACCTGCCCCTTGCAACTGACAGTCTGTCATTACTACATGAGGTGCTAGGATTTACGACCTTAGCTAGGGACTTTGGTTGTATTAATTTTGCATACAATATTTTTTAATTTAGTACATTACAAGTCCCAAGTTGTTCGCCTCTTATATCAATCCCGACAATTTTTCCACAACTTTAAATCGTGTTTAATAAGATGTATTGTGTTCCGTTGTACCCTGATCAAGGTACGGACCAGGGGTAAGGTGCTCTTGTCTAGCTAGTCGCCTCTGGCCGACCTCTTTATAAGTAGGAGTATACTTTTAATTTGACATTATACCTTGTTTCTTTTTTCACATATTTTTATATTATTTAAGATGTATATTAAATGGAGAAATAGAACAACCCGAATCCCTCGCGAAATAATTCTGCTGAGCACCTCACAAAGATGGATCAAATGATGTTGGGTGCAACCACAAATTGGGGGACACAAGCTTGCTATGTAACCTGAGTAAACTATTATCGCTTGATACACCTCAAAGATAACACTTACTGGACATTCATTTTAATGAGTACATTCCATTTTGTATCTCAATTCGCTATGAAGTATCAAATACATGCAATAATGAGTTAAATAATACAAATAAATACAACATATGGTTTAAGATGTACAAACCAATGTATGTTTTTAGTTCCTCGATAATTTTTTTCATTGGTAATACTGAAACTATTTGGTATAAAACTTGAGAAAAGATTCACCAGCTTCAACAGAAGTGAAGTTAAAAGAGAATTGGCCTATATCTATCTCCTTTACTTAGATGCCATCGTTGCATTATATTCACTTAAAAGCTAGTTTTTGCAACATTGACTATACAATTAAGCTACAGTTTCAAACGGATTCTTATGCCTTTTATTTACTATGTTATATTAAATTGAGAGCGCAATTTAATGAGTTATAAATAATCAAACGGGTAAATTTATGCAAAATAATTGATTTAATTAAGAATATTTTTTTTTGAAGCGTGAACAAATCTCCTAAAACGTCTTGCCAAATATGAAGATCACACTATAATAAACTGATTAACATTCAAATATTTGAAATCGGTCAAAATGTTTAGCATATATGACATTTTTAAGAAAATTTCATTAGTTTTGTAATGCCTTTCTATTTGTAAGCTTCATTGCTGAAACTTTGTACAAAGAATTGTCATATCGTATGTTTTCTTTATTCAAGTTTTAGACATATTGACTGTTTTATTTATCATTAATTGATAAAGTGTGGATACGTCGACTAATTTTTTTTTTATTCAACAGTTTTACATTCTTGTAAAGCCACTACTAGCACGCAAAGCTTTTCGGATAGGTCCTAAATGCTAATTTTCCCTGGAATGCGATCCATCAAATCAAACAACAGCAGGTAACAACAACGTTTAACAACCAGGTACTAATTCATTGTTGGGTGAACAGAGGCTACAGTGATTGGACTGGCGCTTAATCAATCCTCCCTGGCCAGGATACGAACCCAGGCCAAATCGCTCATGAAATGCCGGTTGAATGTTTTACCAATGCATCAGAGGGACTGTAGTAAGGGGAATAAGGAAGAGGCACCTATTTTAACCAACAGAGCTAGACCCCAAGTGTTCAGGAAAAGTATAATTTAAAATGCTTGAATGCTGAAGGCTAACCTGGAAAACGTCGGTCCAGAGGACAGCCTTCATGCCGCCCAGAGTGGTATAGAAGATGCAGACGAAGCAGATGAGGCTGACGGAGATGTAGACGTCGAAGCCGGTGACCTGAGCCAGGGCGAGTGCTGGAGCATACACCACGATGGCCATGTACAGCGTCATCTGGGCACACACAGTAAGTTTGTGTTAGTATCTACGTTTTAATTGGTTATTACAGGTAATTAATCAAAGATAATGACACAAATGAGTCCTTTTGTGTGTCGCAAGTATTACAATCTGGTGCTACAATCACAGCTTCCTACTACACTCCCCCGTTACACACCTGGATGATAAAGAGCAGGGAGCCCAGCCAACGCATTGCTCTGTGGAACCGCCTCTCCAGGTACTCATAGGCAGAAATAACCTGCCGGTGAAACTCAGAATTAAATTCCTAATAACACCTCAGGGGCGACTTACAGCAACATCACTCATTCAGGCAGTCATTAAGCAGCAACAGGTCCTCACTTGTTCTTTCAAGCATGGGTTTCATTGAATGAGTCATTCTTCTTCCCTGACTTACTCTACTATAAACTTTCCGCGCACAATTACCTCATTATCATTCACACATTTCAGGTATTTAAACTGGTCAACAACTTTTCGATGCACTTTAATTCCACATACATAATTCACTTCTACTCCACCCCATCATAACTTTAGGCTGTTGTCCACTTTTATGGTAAGGGACATTCTCTCACACACATATATATCAATTTAAAATTATAACTTGATGGTTATAATTTATAAATACATTTTAGATTGACATACTGTATATTGTAGATATACAAGACAGGAAGAGAGCAAGGCTTTTTCATGCCTGACAAAAAGATATCCAGAGATATTGCAGTAGCCATACACAGACTCAGACTTGGATACAAGTGCTGCTGGGGAGGTAATATACCCAATAGTTAAAGCGTGTCATATCTGTGGAACAGAAGCAGAGGCGCCAGTATCGCACTACTTTCTGGAATATGAAGCTGCTGAAGCCCTGCACATCAAACTATATATTAATCCAACGACAGCAGCCCCATTAGATGCACATTCCACAGCCACTACAATGATTAGAAAAGCCGTTAAAGATTGGGACTCACTAGTGAACATTCTGCACCTACATCCACCACCAAGATAATGCTATTAAACAGAAGCGAAATAGAAACAGGGAAAACGGAGGAAACCCCATATCCATTTAAAACTTTGACCCAAATATCAGAGTAACACGGTTATCGCGAATAACCGAAATCAATTAGGGGCTTGATTTCAAGCCCCTAATTAATCAAAGTCAAGTTCATTATCTTATATATATATATATATATATATATGTCGTACCTAGTAGCCAGAACCACTTCTCAGCCTACTATGCAAGCCCCGATTTGAACAATAAGCCAAGTTTTCATGAATTAATGTTTTTTCAACTACCTAACCTACCTAACCTAACCTAACCTAACTTTTTTGGCTACCTAACGTAACCTAACCTATAAAGATAGGTTAGGTTAGGTTAGGTAGGGTTGGTTAGGTTCGGTCATATATCTACGTTAATTTTAACTCCAATAAGAAAAATTGACCTCATACATAATGAAATGGGTAGCTTTATCATTTCATAATTTAGTAACCTCACAGAGAGAAGTTCGAAACGTTGTGCAAATTGTGTAAATAAGTGTAATACATTCTATAGTAATTCACTTCTTTTCTTCACCTTAACATTACGAAATTGAGTTTTGGAGAACTCCTCTTTCAGCTAAGCCCTGATGCTAAGAAAATACTTAGAGGGATAGAAGCCCTAAACCAGAAAATAATAAATACAGAATATGCGGTCATATTCAATGATATATATATATATATATATATATATATATATATATATATATATATATATATATATATATATATATATATATATATATATATATATATATATATATATATATATATATATATATATATATATATATATATATATATATATATATATATATATATATATATATATATATATATATATATATATATAGCCCCAAAGGATTCGAACCTAGACTGCCAGGGCTTCATGAACCTCTGCATATCCAGTCCTATACCAACTAGACCATACTGACTGTGCAATAAAAGAAGGTTTGAAGTCGTGAAGGTTGGAAGATTTAAGCCATCCTCTCGACAGTTTTAGGGTAAAGATATTTCATCAAATCATCTCGCTGTTGGTGCCACGTGAGTAGCACATATGCGCAGAAGCTTGAATGGTCCAATAAGTAAACCTAAATGCCACATCCCTGAAAGATTCGAGCCCAGACAGCCAAGGCTCCATGAACCTATCTCAACTATTCCGGTCATATACATGATAATTAGGGTTTAAACATTATTGTATGAAAGATGCATATACCTGGAGTTCGTGGAAGACTGGCAAGTAGAGGTAGGCAGCTGCAGGCATGACCAGCATGTAGGAGAAGCTACAAAGGCTGTAGCTTAAACCAAACTGGTAGACCTCCGACGGTATTCCCAGCAGCGTAATAGCCGACATAAAACTGTACAATCAGTGAATATCTGTTACTATTTTAATTATTCAAACCAAAAAATTTTTCCTCCTCTTGTCATCAAAACTCCATTAAAACTGCTTTTATTTTATTTATTTTTCCATCACCTTATTTCTTAATCAAACAACAAGTAACTTTTCTCTGCTTTCATTTCCAAGGTTATTCTGTAACTTTGTTTTCTTTTGCTAAAGATACCAAAATGCGAATGAATATTATCTCCATAGAAAACAACGATAAATTAGAAATAGATATAAAAAAGTATTCCAATTGGCAACGGGAAAAATTACATTAAACAGTGATATATTACAGGTACTAAGATATGAAAAGTATGAGGAACTTAAACTTACTTCAGGATACAAGACCCAAACAGATCTCACAGAACGGAAACTAACTGTATGGGATGTGTGATAAATTATACTAGACGACCAAATATTTTGAGAACATAACAGCAAATGTGTCATTTGCAAGTAAAAAAGAGTGAATTTTCATAACCGTCAAATCAAGGTATGAACTCCTTCGTTTCTAATAATTTGAACTTTTTCACCATGAATACTGCTCGATACTCACCTTCCCGTTCGATACAGGAGTGATTTATGAAATAGAACAATTACTGACAACATACAGCACGTAAAGATACAGCAAAAAAACTCTTAAATTTCTGTGATCATGTGAAGGCACTCAAAATGTACTGTCTGGAGACGAGAGAGGTATTATACTACACGTATTATGGTAGACACTCTAAGGTCATGTCTAGCAGAAGTTAAAAGATTGCAAACTTACTGTAGCTAATTGTATGATATATATATATATATATATATATATATATATATATATATATATATATATATATATATATATATATATATATATATATATGTATGTATGTCGTACCTAGTAGCCAGAACTCACTTCTCAGCCTACTATGCAAGGCCCGATTTGCCTAATAAGCCAAGTTTTCATAAATTAATTATTTTTCGACTACCTAACCTACCTAACCTAACCTAACCTAACTTTTTCGGCTACCTAACCCAACCTAACTTTTTCGGCTACCTAACCCAACCTAACCTATAGAGATAGGTTAGGTTAGGTTAGGTAGGGTTGGTTATGTTCGGTCATATATCTACATTAATTTTAACTCCAATAAAAAAATATTGACCTCATAAATAATGAAATGGGTAGCTTTATCATTTCATAAGAAAAAAATTAGAGAAAATATATTAATCCAGGAAAACTTGGCTTATTAGGCAAATCGGGCTATGCATAGTAGGCTGAGAAGTGTGTTCTGGCTACTAGGTACGACATATATATATATATATATATATATATATATATATATATATATATTGTGATGGTGTTCCCCCCTTATATTTCTCCCACGCCTGCAGTAAGAGTCATGTCTACTTTTCCCAAGCGTTCTCTACGTAGCAGGCATCAATTTGATATATGGGAGAGAGTGGAGTGTTCTCGGAGAGCCGAGAAATTTGTGAAACAGTAATATTTTGGCCTGTTGTTTAGGCCCTTTAGGAAGCCAAGATGGCGCTGGCTCTCCTGATTTCCCGCCAAAACCGTGTGACGTCAGTGGCACCGGATTGGTCACCGACAGCAATGTGGCACCGAGAGCCAATGAAAACTTCCCGTGGCGAAAGTGACGTCACGAAGGAAGGGGGTCCGGGCAGCGCGCCGCGCTGGCGCCAGCTGTCAGACACGACACGTCAAGGAGGTTGGACGTGCGACGATTGGTCCTGTCAGTTTGACAGTTGTTTCCCGCTCCCGTGGATTTACGCGTCACCTGAAGTCTGCCAGTACTCTGTGAAGTCTTCCCTAGTTCACCAGAGAGGGAATCGACGGTTATTGAGCAACAAGTGCTCCAGTCAGGTACTGTGCAAGAAGAAGTGAAGACTGTGCAGTGACGTAGGCGACGTCTGAGGCAGTTCACCCAGTCGTGACGGCGTAGTGGCTGACCAGAGCCACTGGGTAGCAGAGGAAGAAGAGGACTAGCTGGGAATCCGGACGACTGCAGCCGAGACGTAGGCGGCAGCCGTGCTGGGAGAAGACGACGGCCAGGAGACCGACTCCAACCCTACCAGAAGTCGAGAAGGAGCACGGACCTGCAGGGAAGAAGGCACGGAGACGACGCGCTAAACGGTGGGACGACGAGTGGTTCCGGTAGGACACGACAACGTGTGTGTGGGGGCGTTCCCGACACGAGGACCAGGAGCTACAACTCAACTCTCATCGGAGGATAGGTTGAAGTAGGTGTTTCTAGTTTCCCTCCCCATTCCCCTTTAGTTAGCTATATTATCCGGCTATATTATCTAGCCTGAGGATTTTCTATGTCGTGAGCAAGTCTCACCCATGTCACAATAAAGCACCAGTGTGCAGTATAATACTATCAAGAGTACTTGTAATATTCATGTTTATTATTGGTGTGTTCAGGCACCCGGAACAAGTGATAAATTTACTGTGTTTTGTATATCTTTCTAGAGACTTAGATGTGAACATATAGTGATAAGTTATATATAATATTATTCCAGTATTTGGAAGTTAGGCTATGTGCCCAGAAACTATTTATTTACCATTTATTGATGTCTGATTTATATACATTATATATGTCTGTGTTCATGCAGTGATTAATCATTTGTGAGTACAGTGAATTATTGTGTTTTCGCCCACGAGAGAAAGTACTGAAAACTCCAGTGTTAAATACTTCATAATATATCATTGAATGAAGGGCAGGTAAAACCATTACAGTGAGTCATTGTCACATTGATTGTAGAAACGACTGTTTGAGCCCGAGTATAGTGTAACTAAGTAATACGTGCTATTGTTGCCAATCTCGAGTGTGCGAGTTTCTAGTAATATTGGAGAACTTAAAGAAACAGCGCGCGTGAATCTAGAAAACAAGCAATAAACTTTCGCGCGGAGCCAGGCAATCAGCTGTTCCTGACATTGACGAGAGGGGGAGGTGTTGCCACTTAGTGAGTGCATAATATTCGTGGGAACTACCGGCTACAGCCAGGATCAGCTGATTTATTTATTGATTGACCTTGTGACATCTTTCATGCATTTTAAGTAAATTACAAAATTACTTTTGTGTTTATATCATCCCCTCCATTGATCTTGTGGCTATGTTATACTGGAAAGCAAAGAGTGATAAAAGTAAGTACCTGCCTGATTCCTGATCTATTGAGTGTGACCTTGCCAAGGCTACCACTAATTCAACCAGTCCACTGAGGTGTTACTGTACACCGAAAACACCAGTTGGCGACCTTGTGGTTAATAGTAAAGCCCTATGGTTGGGGCGGGCCACACAACAGTTAAGTAAACAAGAAGTGTGTTCCCACTCCTTCTCAATCAGAAGGCTGGTTGGGATTGACTGGGATACTCTCCTGGCGTGCAGTGGCGCCGAGAGGATTAGAGTGAAGACCCGCTGGGCTACGGTGAGTGACCTTGAGATAACTGGTGGTCACCCCAGAGTAAGAATAGAGTATAAACCCCAACATTGGCGACCTCGCCAGGATTAGGTACAGTTAAGGTTGCTCACCGAGTAGAGAGAGAACTGAGAACCCCAACAATATATATATATGAAGGAACTGGGTTCAAGGCTCATTGAAACAACAAGGGACCCTAGAGCTGCCAGCTTTCTTTTCCAGCGCCTCAGCGTAACGATACAGAGGGGAAATGCGCACTGCATCCAGGGTTCGTGCCCGCCATCTGAGGAGCTGGAGGAACTCGACAACCTATGATAACCATCTTTGTAATGTATATGTAACTCCTTATTAGTGTTCTGTGAGAAACCACAAGGTCTCCTCTGAATACTTTTTACTTTCTTCTCCGAGGCTATGGGTCCCCACATTGGCACCAGAGGTGGTACCCACACAAATTTTATATATATATATATATATATATATATATATATATATATATATATATATATATATATATATATATATATATATATATATATATATATATATATATATATATATATATATATATATATATGTCTCTCCTTGCTGGGGTGGCTATGTCTAGCCACCCCTGCAAGGAGAGACAAAACCTTAGCTGCCTCAGTCATCAGAGCTATAAATGATTTTCCCAGGGAGGACAACCAGGTAAGACTTCCCACTCGCGTGAGAAACACCCACGGCAGGAAGAGCAACAGTGGCATATCCGAGACATCAAAAATCAGAACATCAGTCACCAAGAAAATAGAAGAAGGAAACACAATTGGCGCAATAAGAGTCATCACCAGTGAGGACTCAATTGCTGACAGAGATGCCGCAACAGCTCAAGCCCTAAGGAAGAAACACCCACCCAGGGCTCCGCGTGAGGGCGACATTGTACAAGTGGGGGCTACCGGAGCAGAACCTCTCTGGGTGGCTGAATCTGTGGTCTATAAAGCAGCCTTGTCCTTCCCAACAGGATCAGCAGGTGGGTTCACAGCACTAAAACCCAACCACATCAAGCAAATGATCAACCCTGCACTGGGTGACATTGCAAAGAACCTCTTGGTGGAACTAACCAGATTCACCAACACATGTCTAGCTGGCAACATACCAGCGACCATAAGACCTATCTTTTTTGGAGCATCTCTCTGTGCTCTAAAGAAAAAGGATGGAGGGATCTGGCCAATAGCTGTTGGCAATTCTCTCCGGCGTCTCGTCGCAAAGGCAGCTGCAAGAACAGTTAGTGATGCAGCGGCCAACATGCTGAAGCCAAAACAGCTCGGGTTCGGCATTCCACAAGGGTGTGAGGCGGCAGCCCATGCAGCTCGAGCCTTCATCGCCAACATCACAGACGAAAAAGTCCTTATCAAGCTAGATTTCAAAAATGCCTTCAATTCGGTGCGGAGGGATGCTGTACTCCGTGCGGTTCATATTCATTTCCCTTCCCTCTACCCTTTTGTACATTCATGCAACAGTATGGACCTTAAGCTACTTTTTGTCGAACATGAAATTGACTCGCGAGAAGGCGTCCAACAGGGTGAC